TTGCTACAGTGCTTACCGTACTTAGGCAGTATATAGCTGTTGAATGCAATAAATGAGCTCCCATTTTACGGGACTGGTATCTTTACTGTTTCCCTCCAGTAAATTCATTATGAGCCCAAATGGCTCAAGTTTGTTTGCAGCTTAATTCTCTGAGCACCTGGTAGGTATTTTAGTTTCCTTTATAATTCCTGTTCCACATAATCTTAACTTTCCTCCCCTTTCTGTTCCTGGAGCCCTTTCTTGCCCTCTGGGGCTCCTGAAGGTTGGTGTACATGTCAAGGAGGTTGCTTTGAATTGATCTAAGGGTCTTGGTTGAGACAGGCAATGCTGGGATGAAGTGAAAACAAAGTGTGAGGGACCTGATGCTCTGGCTGCCCCTCCAGGTAGCTCTCACACCCACAGGTGAGGGTGCTCCTTTCCTCTGGCAGGAAGGTTGACTACAGGGTTGGAGGTTGGCTGGGGCTGTCAGCAGGGACACTTCATGTCTCATGATTTATGCCTCTGGACTTTCATGTTGGGGTTCAGGAGAAGCCTCAAAGAGGATTCACTCACTGCGAGATCTAGCTATTATAAGTTATGCTGGTATATACTATACACATGGATATGCATATCTCCTTGGATATGATGGTTTTAACTCTTTTGGGAAGATACTTAGAGGTGGAATAGCTGGGCCAAATGGAATTTCAACTTTCAGTTTTTTGGGGAATCTCTACACTGATTTCCATAGTGGTTGTACTAATTTACATTCCCACCAACTATGTGGAAGAGTTCCCGCTACCAAACCTTGCATTTGTTATTGCTACTTTTTTTGATGATAGTCATTCTTTGTGGGGTAAGATGATATCTCAATGTAGTTTTAACTTGCATTCCTCTGATGGCCAGAGATGAGATATTTTCTGACATAAAGGAAAATAAACTTAAGGCATTTGTATGTAAATGACACAACTTGAGAACATGTTAGTGAAATAAGTCAGATACACAAGCTCAAATATTGCATAGTTTGTTTTATATGAGAAAGATTAACAGCAAAATATAAGATAAATAGGAAATAGTGAGAAGTTCAAATACTTCCTGAAGTATCAAATTCCATTGTTTTAAAAACATTTCACTATATATCCTTATTGGTTTCGTTTATACTACCAGTTTAACATAGTTCATGGTAGAGAGATTTTTGCTATTATGTTTCTTTTTTGTAAAAAAATTTTTGGTGTATGTCTTGTTCTCTGAGTAAATACTACAAAAAGAATGATACACAGTGATATAACTGTTGTATTCTCTTATTAGGTGGTTATGAAATTTTATTTTTTCATAAGGTAAGAGTCATGTTTGATGTATCCTTTGTGGCCAAGCTCAAGAGTCAATGTGAGAAAGGATTACAAAGAACATGGATACCGTAGGATGATTCACTGAGGAGCATTGTTGTGACAATCTTGCACATGTATAGAGTGGTATTTATGGGTTTGGTTTTTTGTTTCAATTAACTCATTACAGTCTCCCCTATGTTAAAACCCTGTATAACTAGTAGTTGGCAAAACGTACACTGCCTAAACATTTCTGTCTAGGACTGGTACTCTCTCAGGGGTCAGATAAATTTCTTGGGCTTCACGAACCATGCAGTCTCCGCAACTTAATTCTGCTGTTCAAGTGTGGTAGTAGCCAACAGATAAAACCTATATAAATGGGCATGGCTGTGTTTCAGTAAAACTTTTATTTACAAAAAACAGATAGTGGGCCAGATTCTTAGTTTACCAATTTTGATTATTATTCTCTAGACTGTCAAAAATATTATACTCAAATATCACCACTTCCCAAACTTAAAAATTAAATACTATTTTTGTAGAATCTTATTTCATCATGGGAATTGATCAGTGCATGCTCATGTGCCATGATTTTTCATCTAATTGTTTTAAAATCATAAAATATTTTCTAAATATGCTTTAAGAATCTTGGCAAAAGCTAAATGTTACAAGCTGGTTCATTGCAAGTTAGATGGGCAATGTAATGAGATAAGGAGTACAAACTGGACAGACTGCCTGGCTGTACTAATTAGCTATGTGACCACAGGCAAGTTACTTAGTGTCTCTGAGCTTTCATCTGAGAGGACTGACAATAGTCTTACTTTACAGGGTTATTATGCAGATCAAATGAATGAGTTCACATAAAATACTTTGCATTAGTGCCCAGATTATAGTGTTGTTAAAATTATTAAATAGCAAAATGCCAATAAAACTCTAATTATTAATTTCTAAAGAAAGAATGAGCTAGGTACAGTGGCACATACTGACAATCCCAGTACTTGGGAGGCTAAAGCAGGAGGATCACTGCAAGTTTGAGGCCAGCCTGGGCTACATTGTGAGTTCAAGGCCAGCCTGAACTGTATAGTGAAATCCTGTCTCAAAACAAACAACAAAATAAAATGACGGATGTATGAGTTTCCAGAGTCATAGTGTTGGGGTATAATTTAGGTGAAAATTTAACATAAATTTGCTTAGATTTGAGTAATTTCTTTTTTTTTTTTTTTGTCTTTTTCATTTTTATCGGTACCAGGGATCGAACTCATGACTGCCTGCTTGCAAGGCAGGCGCTTATGCCGCTGAGCTAAATCCCCAGCCCCCTGATTTGAGTAATTTCAAGACTAATGAATATGACCAGTCAGAATCAGACGCCTCATAGATTGGGTAGCTTGTCACAGTGTATGTGCACTGACATATGGAGCCTCATTGGGTATCAGGAAGAGGACACAACGGTACAAAATACATTTTTACATTTGTTTGAACTTTAGGAAAGAAGCTACTTTAAAAGATGTTTACTCAGTAATAGCTTGGAAATTAGCATCTAGTGGCAGCTAGACATTATTTTCTTTGACAAAATACTGTAAGTTGCCAGATATGTGACCTATTGTTCTATCCAGACCACATAAATACAACTGCCCTTGCGGCTGGGGCATAGAAGGTGCTAGGGTGGCTGGACAATGCTTTGTTTGCTGTGCTGTTTACAGCTGTGCTTTGGTAGCGCCCACAATGGCTTACAGTGACCTGTGTTTGACCCCACGGTCAGCATTTCCTCAGTGAGTCACTGTGTGACTGTGCCATTTGTCTTTCCCTCACCCACCAGGGCTTGTACCACCAGTTAGTACTTAAGAGGCTCTCTGTCAATGGCTGGGGACATTCATGGTTATCATACACCGAATTTGGCAGGACTCACTGAATTGAGGTTGCTTTCTCCATTTCCCATGTAATGGTTTGACATCAGTAATTCAGGATCAATACAGCGAATGTCTGCCATGTGTGAAGTGCTATTAAAGTAAATGAGAAATCTCCTTCTCCATTAATCAGAGCTGTATTTCTATTAAGTTAGAAGTTCTGGTGGAAAATGCCCCATGGCTAGTATGTGATGATGTAGACAGACTCTGGGGAAGATAGCTAGGTGAGGGTGACAAACAGGAGGAAACGGTCAGCTTGTGGTCTGGGAAAGGAGAAAGGGGATGTGCCCCCCGAGCACTGGGCACAAACGTTGCCCCTGTTGCCCATCCAGGGGTCCAGCCACCAAGGTTAGAGGATCCACTACCACAGCCCAGCACAGGGCAGCTCCAGCTCCTGGGGGAGCTCTCTAGCTGCCATATGGGCAGACACAATTCTTAGGGACTGAAGCAACCAATGACTGCCAATGCAGTAAGGGGGCCATGGCCCAAAGATTTCCTGTTGCTTCCCCTTTTCCTTTGGAATTTAGGGAAAAGGACCTGAGAAAGGTACAAGTCTTAGCAACTTGGTGAGTACTGTAATCCAGGCTGCTGTGGCCTACAGAAACTCTGTGCACAACTGACTTAATATGTATTAGGAGAAGAACAAATCCCTAAAAACAGTGAGGGATCATTCTCATCGGTGTTGCATCTTACCCTGGTTCTTAATCAAAGCTCATTGTAATTTTCCTGAGTATGTAAAGCTTCAAGTCTTAAAAGTTTTGTTATCTCACAAGTTAAGGGCTTCCACTCTTCCTCCTAGGAAGCCAGGCCTGATGAAGTCCTATGTATAGGCTTTGTACAATGGTTCTTCCACTGCAGGGAGCTGCAGAGTCAACCAAAGGACAACTACAACACAGATCGCTGAGCCCAGTGCCAGAATTTGATTTAGTGATCTCACTTGACATCCAAAAACTCACAGTTCTACCACCTTTCTAGGTTATAATGCTGTTGGTCCAATGACTGTTTTCAGGATCACTGATCTTACAGAAAGAAGGAAAAAACATTGCTATTTGTATCTATAAACATACATGACAGTCTGGGTACTGTGCTGTGGGAAGGTTCTCTAATCACACGAAAGAATGAGATGAGTGTCTTCCTTCCACATCCACTGCTCTGTTCCTCAATCAAAAGGGGCTCTCTTTTCTTTAAAATATACTTAGGCAGATTCTAACATCTTTAACAGATCTGTTAGTAAACTGAGAACTTTAAAAAAATCTCTGCACATCCCCACCCATAGCCACATGTGCTATCCACTGACATTTCAGCTGACAGCATGGTAGTTCTGAAGACAGGCTTTTCTGTGTCTCAGCATCTACCTCTACTTTTGTCAGTCATTAATGGACTAACTCATGAGTAAGCAGAATAGTTTTCTGGTGTTGACAAGATGATAACAGAATCTAATGTCGCCTGTAATTCTCTGGTTTTTAAGGTTCAGAGTGGTCATTCACCCTGAAAAGTAAACCCTAAGATAAGTGCTAGTGCTCATGAATGTGGGAGATGTAGGTCAGCCAGAAACGACCAGCAACTTACGCAACAAATGCAAGGATTGGAGATGAACCAGAAGATGGATACAAAACCACGTCTTTCAATAACTAGTAGGGTTGACTTCAGTTAAATATTTTTCATTTTCTCTCCACTTATTTTATTCTAGAAATGGGTAATCTGGGTTAATTAGAAGATGAACTTAAACAAGGTTCTGGTGTGATTGTACACAAGGCTTGCAAAGGAGTAACCGAGGAAGAAAAACGCCGCTGACTGGTTAGCTGTAGCACAATTCAAGTTTATTCCATTTGTTCTTGCAACACAAAACTGAAACACAGTATTATTTAGCATTCGGATGTACATGAACTAGGATACTTATGAGAAACGTAATTGTGTCAAAAGTATGATGGGGGAAAAGGAACCTGAATATATCAAAAATGCACAAAGCACTATTCTTCCTCCATTACTGCTTAGAAAGATATGATTGTTTCTCCATTTACAAAATAGAATCAAGACGATTCAATTTTTTAGAATTTTGCATGCAAAACACTGCAATTGCTTATTTATGTAGGAGGACACTCTTACCAGCTTCTTCTATACACAATTGAGTATACAATATTGCATGGAAGAAAATAGCAGCTTAGTCGAAGTTTTAGGAAAAAATCAATTAGGTACATACAGATTAAAAACTCAGTACTTGGGGAAAGAAATCGATGAATAAAAGGCCTACTTGTTTGCAGCTTCCACACAATGCGCTGGCCTACGATGCACTTCTGGGCCCAGCTGGGTTTAGAAGGGTGAGCTGTGCACAGAAGTACTATCTGGGACCCTTAGGTGCTGTCTTTGACTCTACCTTTATAAAAACCAGCCTGAAGCTGCAGAGGGGATTTGTTAGCAACTACTACAGGCAAATTACCTGTTTTTACTTGACATAGTGCATAAGAAATGACTCAATGATTTAATACAAAACTATAGAACATGCAAAATTTTGTCTAAGATATTAAGTAGTACTTCAGTGGAGAACAAAACTTACTTAACCTTTTGCTAATGCATGTAGTACCAAAAAGCAGAAATGGTTTTAGCTTCCTTTACTCAAAATATAAACATTAAGTGTTGTGAATTTCTCTGCCAAGTGGCTCAGAAATACATTATAAATAACCTAGTTAAAACAAAAAAAAGACATTGCAAACCATCTTGGCCAGTCTATTCTATTTTATGTTTATATGTAATTTTCTCAGGCAATTGCTTCATAATTATGGGGTTTACAAAATGGCTGAGAAAGAAGAGGGAAGGCAAGATAGCCTCTACTGCATTACAAGAAACATCAGGATAAACTGTACAAAGAATCACATGGTTCTGGTACCATGACTTTGAAAGCAGACCAAGTTCAGGAATGCTAGCACAATGCACTCTCTGCAATAGCTAACTACAACAGAACACTTTGAAAGCAAAAGTGAAAACTGGGTTAAGGGTTCCATTCAAGCCTTTTAAATAGCATTACGCCAAGAGGTGAAAACAAAGTTAAAAAAAATAAACCACCCTGCTGCACTATGTTGACAGCTGTAGACTGATAGAGTGCCCTCCATTTCCAATCAGGATGTCCAGCTCTGATAGGCTGCATTATGACAGCAGAAATAGCCAAATATAACAAAGTGATTGTGTTCTTGGACATAAGAAAATTACAGGGTTAGGCTAATTCAAAGTGAAAAAGCCACAGGATAAAAAAAGGGTTCTTAGGGAAAAACCCACACCCACACCCACACCCACACATACACACACACACACACACACTCACACTCTTTCTCTCCCCCACACCACCAACCAATCAGTATCTGATCGATAGAACTTACTAGCCAGGCTGACTGTTCTTGGTAATAGTTTAACCCTGCTATACAATTCTTCACTGCCTTGAAAAAAAATCATTAGTCTTTATTATTCACAATCTGAATTAAGTCCCCAAGCTCTCTCCCCTTTTGAAAATTTGAGGTACATTCAATTATTGTATGAGTTGGCTAAGGAAAAACTCTAGTATTTTTAGTAAGCTAAATATTCCAAATCTTAATGTTCCTAACCAGGTATAAAATTTAAGGTTATATGCTTTCAACATTACTGCTCATGAAATAAACACCTGGAGATGTGCCCAAATTTTCTGCAAGTCATAAGGATATTTTAGGGCACTGTATTCTAAGAACATAGAATTATTCTCAAGTTATCACACATTATGCAATGCATGATTTATAAGAGAAACAAAAATATGTTGTGCAGGTGGATTGGCATTATGTCCAGCAGAAGCCTATCAATGACTAAGAGAAACCTGGTATAAGCCTATTTCTGAAGGGATGGAGTTCAACTTCTAATAGTCAATCTTGCCCCAGCAATGGCTTTGGTGCACTATATAACCAGCATGAAGGTGGGTCAGAGAGACATTCCAAGAACGTTCCTTGGTTCTCAAACACAAGTGAAATCAACTCAAACACCAAACAAAGGAAGTCCATAGGTACTAGGACAACTGTTCTCTCTCTATGTGAACTAACACGCTTATGGCTATAATTCTATTTTTAAATCCCCTTTACTACCAGCAGGAGTTTGAAAGTGTTTTAATGTTATGTAAATGTCTGAAGTTAAAGGAGAAAATAAGATACTGGAATGATTTCTCCTCCAGACTTCTAAAGTTTAAAGGTTTCATAAATAAAACTAGTCAGTTTTATCTAAAGAGACATGAAATCCATGTGAAAGGGGAGAGAAAATCCGAAGTTCAGTCATCCAGCAATTTAGGAGTGTGCCCCTCCTCATCTTAACTGAGCTGTCACAGGAAGCTGAAGTCATGAGGGAAGATTTGGTCACCAATCACAAGCAGTGCCTGTACCCAGCAGGAGACCCCCGGAGAGTGGATGCTTAAGGCAGAAGGCTGGAGCGAATTGCTTATCTCAGCACCCTAAGTTACACTGCAGTAGCTGCTACTGCTTGCAGTTAGGGCCGCTGAGTAAGTAGAGTTGGCCTTTGTAGAATCAGACCTTTAATACAATCTAATTAATGGATTAGCGAGGGAGCTGAAAGGTCAAATGTTCCCGATACAGTGTGTCTTTGCTCTCTTGGGTCTATGCTGTGTATTTTATTAGAAATGGAAGAGGCTGGCTTGATCAGGAATCCTGGTCACAGTCTCCCCTCCTCCAAACATTTTTTTTTCTGGTAGTCTGATTTGTTATCAATTTCTCTCTCCCCTCACCCCTCTTAAAGTATTTAGCTGAAGAAGCTGGCAGATAGAGTGACAGACAGACAGGCAGCAGTGTGAGGCCACAGGAGAGTCATTCTTTCCGAGCTATCAGTCCATCATCCATCACTGCAGCAGCGCTTTGATTGCCTGGTTGTCGGTGGCTTCAAGGGCGGTCAGTCCATCCGGACCTTTCACAGTCTTATCAGCACCCTGGGAACGAGAAGGGGCCTTCATTAGTGAACCCCACCACTGGGTAAGAGTCGTGAAGAGCGGACTGCATCGCATGGGCCCCTGTTCACAACAAGCATTCGACCCCTTCTCAGTCGCATTCCATTCTATTACAGAAGAACAAACAATGAAAAGGTTCTCAAGGTTATGTATTAAAAATGCCACGTTATTTTTCGAGAGTCAGAAATTGTGACAAATACAACTTGTCTTTAACTTAGGCAAGGATAGCCTTTTATTTATACTGTCATATACCTAATTAAGCTTTAGAAATATGAGCTCTGTATAGTATAAGATACTATATCACTTCAGCTGAAGAAAGTATTCTATTGACGTTTTTTTCTTTTCTTGCAACATTTCTGTAGAATGCCTCAGTATTAATATACATCATTAAGAACCAGTCATTTTACTTATGAAATCTCTGTATCTGATCACCTCCCTTTGCTGCCACAACCAGTGCATACTCACCACAAAGCCTCAGTGCCTTGCTCTGGTGCCCTCTCCAAATCGCACTGGCTGTTTTCCTAAGGGGTCTACAGACTTGTCTAGACGTAGTGTAAGAGAGTTAACTTTAAGGGTTCACTGTGGTCACACTCTGTAGTCTCTTCTGTTAACCTTTCACAGCCATCAGAACTTCTCAGTAGTCCCTGAATGTGCCATGTGCCATGCCTTTATCCACCTGGGCTCCGTATGAAACACCTCATCGCTTTTCTTCTGAAAATCTACTGTCCACTCATTGAACAAATTTACTCAGTGTTTTGTACATTTGTGTAAAGTGCTGTAGAATCAAAGAAAACCTGGGCAGAGTCCTTGCAGTCCAGCTGAGGTGGGAGACAGACAGGTTGATACAGCACAGTGGGCAAGCACAGAGCAATGATGGCTAGGGACTGTGAAGTCAGGAGAGGATGCAGTGTGAGGGTGAAAGTCTTCCTGGAGGACGTAGGATGCACATTCGGGGAAGTGCTAAAACTCAACATGTCCAGCCCCAGTAGCACAGGATAGTTGTACTGAAACAAATGGCTACTCATTCATTTTGAGGACTTTTATTATAACTAGCACTGAAAACTGTAATTCTGCAATAACAAGTTTTATTCTGTGATGAATGTGTTGCTTTTTAGCCATCAGGGTTATTTTCTCTTCCTTTGATAACAGCCCCCATGATTCATTTTGGGGAATCATTTGTTCCTTGAAGTGTGGGTCCTAGGACTATAAATCAAGGGCTAATTACTTTCTTTGCCAAGTGTCGCCAAAGACTTTTTTAACTGAAGCAGGATACTCTTTCCTAGGTTTTGAAACTTGGAGAGACCAAACGGGAGAGAATACAAGAAGCTCGAGGGGGTGATCATTATGGCATCATTGCGATAAAGGAGCTCCGGAGAGTCCTGGCTCTGATCTCTTCCTAACCTGGTCCTCCAACATTCTCACTGAGTCTATTACTAGCCCAGTATCTCCTCAGGTATTCCTTTTCTACTTGCTGGAATCAATGTCTACTATTTGCAACCAAAAATAAAATATTTCTAAAATTTAAAATCACTTTTCCCTCTAATTATAGTATTCACATCACAGAAAATTCACTTACCCAGAAAAATGTATCTCATAACTCTATAAATCAAATATAATTAATGTTACCATTTTAAATGACATTAAGGAAATAATTCCATTTATAATGCATCCAAAATGATAAAGTAGTTTGCAAATTTAATAAAATCAAGTCAGTTTTCCCAAGTGATCATGAACCAGTTTTATCAACACATATAAGATTATTAGAAGAAAGTAAGCTTTCTGATACTCAAAGCATTCAGTAGAGAACTCAGTGTAACTGGCCCCATCTCTCCCTCAAGGAAACCATTTTTAGTTGTTCATCTTTAGTTTTAGTGATTATCTCTGGTTCTTTACACAGTCATACTATCTAAGTTACGAGTTTTAGACTTTTATCTCTGAGTTTCTGCTACATACAACAGGCTGTGCCTCACCACACCTTCCCCAGACTCTTCATTTTGCTTCCCTATGAATATGCCTTTAGCCTTAATTTGCCAGAATTTTTTAAGATTAATTTTTCTAGTTTTGCCTGTAAAACTGTATTTTGTTTACTGATTCTTATTGTTAGCATAAACAACAACCAATGTTTAAGTTAGTTCTAGGTGAATGCTGCTGTCTGTGGCACCTCACAGATGACAATCACTAGTTTTCTCTCTGTTGTTCCAGCACTGAACCCCTGGCACGGTCCTGACTAAAAACAGAATCTGGGTAGTGGTCTGAGTTTTCCTGAATCCTGTTCTTTCATTTACAAGTAACAAACTTTTGAACCTATTCATTACTAGGAGGGTAAAGAGAACTTAGGACACAATGTACTAGACCCAGTTTTTTCTTGCTAATTAGTTGGGTGCTACCTATGCAAAGCGTATTAGGGTAGCTCTGTCTCATTAAGGCACGTAAGGATCCAGGTTTTGTCTGTTCTGTTGCCCAAGAGTGTCCTCAATGTCCTATGGAGGAAGATGGCTCCGTACCTGCTCATCATTGTCCAGATATCAGATTGTGACTGAACTTGGCATTTAGAAGACTTCATAACTCATGCCGCATACTTGCATAACAGTAGAGATCAGATTGCAAAATGCCATGAGCATTTTTTAGGAAGAAAACCCCAGGTTTTAGGTACACGTATAGTAATCTACCTAGTCTTTGTATCTCAGCTTTCATTGCAGTAAGTGTGGCTGTTAATCTTAAATTTGGACTACTAGTGTATTGTGTGCCACTTTTAAGTTATCATGTAAAGTAGAAGCCCGATTACTATAGTTTCCCTTCTCTGGCAGACTGGATGCTCATTATGGCCCTCCCCTGAAAGGCATTGTCTCCATCTTCTATTTGCTCTGCCTCTATTTCCTCCTAAACCAACTCCCTCTGTGCTTACTTCCTTTCTGGGTACCCTGTAACTGCTATTCTCCAAAGTTCTGCTATTTGGAAATCTTCACGACATGCTCACGGAGATCTTCATAGGTATTTCCAGCTGCATCCAACATTCATCTCCATCACAACTACCTATCTTGAACTTTACAGCTATGCATGTATATGTGTTTGAGATTTATCTACTTTAACTTCCACAAATACCTCAAATTCAACCTCTCCTAACATGAATTAATACTCTTCCCTTACAAACTGCTCCTCTTTTAGTAGTCTCCATCAAGAGGAAACATAATTCCACCTTCTGGGAAATGAGGCATGATACAGATCTGTTCTTTCCACATTGTCAGTCTCCAAGTTTTCAGACAATATTCCTCTTAACATTCCATATCTGTTCTTGCTTCTTGATTGCTACCATTACTTTTAGAGCTTGGGATCTCCATGTAAACAACGTGATGTAAAAGTTTCCTGTTGTTACTTCTTATACCATGTCATTTAGACTGCATGCCTCTTTGGGTGGCCATACCGCTAAGCCTTCCTGGGCAACTTGCACAGAGAGAAAGAAGTCGACACACGCACAAAGTGGAATCTGCTCACTATCTACCTCTTACTTGTGTTTCTTGTGGAATTTTTTTCCACTCTCCACTGCAGCTTGTAAAAAATCTACTGTACCCCCATTTCTTGCCCTGTGACTTCTTTCTGTTGCCTCTGCTTGTAATAGTACCTCAGTTTATACTTGTCTTCCCCAAGTTAGGCCAAGCTCTATGAGTGCAGGGTCCTTCTTATAGTCATCTCTTTAACCCTTTTTCTTGGTTTGTTTGTTTTTGAAACAGGATATTGCTATGTACTTCAGGCTGGCCTTGAACTTACTATGTAGTCCAGGTTGGCCTCAAACTCATGGCAAACGTCCTGGCTTCAGCCTCCCAGGAGCTGGTATTACAGGCATGTGTCACTATATCCAGCTCATTTACTTTTAACACTTATACAAAATCTGACTTTCATCAATGTTCATCAAATATCTGGTACTATGCTTTTGAGTTTTCTAGTCTCCAGAACCAGGTGTCTTGAATCACTTTGTGTGTAGCATTGTTATAGAAAATGAATTGCAAGACTTTACTATCAGCGGTGCCATCTTGGGCAGTTTCCTTCACACAGTGTCAGTTTCTCAGGGATAAACAGGGCTATTAAGATGATTAGGGGAGTTAACTTATAGGAAGTATTTAAAAAAACAGTACAATGGTACTTTGATATTCATCACTGATTGGTTCTGAGAGGTGCAGCAAGTACCAAAATCAGTACCAAGCAAATTGCTTTGGTTGGAAAGAGTGGTGGGTCACAAGGCAATCAACACTATGGACAAAGTTTTAGCTTTCACATCAAGCACAAAACACATGACCAATACCTGCACAAAGTGTTTGCGACTAAATGCATCCAACATCACACTCACTGAGCTTCAGAGCAGTCGCACCGCCAAGGTAGGACTGTACTTGTACACTGGAAATGCCATGTAACTGTGAGCTACTTTATTCTCCTGTCAACTGTGTGTGTGAGACAAGTAGAGGCCCCACATTACGAAAGAGAAACCCTAGGCTGAGACATTAAGGAACCTGCTGAAAGCCACAGAGCTTTAGAAGCAGAACTAGTAGCTAAACTTGAGGGTGTGTGACACCACAACACACAGTGCATTTCACTCACAGAAACTATTTAAAACAATGGCATGCTTTAGTCTAAAAGAACTAAGTGTGTAAAAAGAATGAACTTACAATGGGCATAGTTGTGTCCAATATTTGTGAAAACTATCAAAGTAGTACAGTAACTGGCTCTTCAGTTATTATAGAACAAATTTTGTACCTATTATTATCACTCTGGTAAGTTCTTCACAATGCAGTTTCTTTTTAAAAATAAGATAACTCACAAAGGCACTGGTGAGTTCTCTGGGTGTCACTAGCCCTCAATTTTATTTTAAATCAAACTTGCCTAATTATACAGAACAGAACTTTAGAAGTTCTCAATAATCATAAAGTGTGTGCCAGAGACTACTTAGAGTTCACTGGAGGTAAGTAGGGAATTATTTGAGTATCTGCAAG